TGGGCGCCGTGCCACAGCGGTAGGCCGTTGCAGACGACCTCAATGCGACGGGCGTCGCGGATGGGCACATCCAGGTACATAGCCGCAAGAGCAACGTTGCGACCAACTCGAGGTGTGGCACTCAGATCAAACATGCCGTCAGGTCTGACAGGAGCGGCTGTCGCAATCTGTGGGAACTCTTCGCTGGACCGGCGTCGGCCCCCCAAACAGAGTCTTGGTTGTTTGCTGGTCCCGGCAAAGACGGTTTTGTGATGGAGGTCCGGGACCGGCTTCCATCACGTGGCAGATCGTTTCGAACACGAGGAGCTTGACCATATTGCTTGGCCCTTCCAGATGATGATCGCTACCTGGCCTGGCGAAACCGCAGGAAACACCTGCTCAGGCAGGTTTTTTGTCGGAGGCATCGTTCATCGCTTTTTCGGCACAAGACCGCAGGGACAGCCGGATGTTGCGCGGTTGTCGTCTACAACGAGGAAGTGGTTACGGGTGCACGCACTCTGTGCGTGAGAATCGTCATTCATGCAGGGCAGTCCTGTCAGGGGCCGCATTGTCGTCGATGTGCTACAGCAGCGCTCGTTATAAAGCTGATGCTCAGGTTTGCTGTTGGTGCGGCTCCGAGGCCTCGCCACTTGGCATCACCTGGCTTAGGAATGTCAACATTTTGCTGAAACCAGACCTGCTCAGGTACCGGCGAACGTTCTGACTCAGCGTTTGGGTTGGCCATGTCGGACGTTGACCTTTGAAAGCAACGAACAGATTCCTGGCCACAGTCCGCGAGACTGTGCGCCGGGCTGATGGTTTCCGCGATTAGCCTTCGGGCTTCTGGGTTGAACTGGCCTTGAAACCACAATTGGGACCGCGTATGACCGCGTCTAGTCCACACTGTGGGTTTCTCATGCTCGGGTACTGTAAGGGTCATCAATAAGGTGCCACACACCACCTTGAAGCCCGGCGCGAAAAAAACGCAGCAAGGCACCATCCCTCCAACCAAAACGACCAAAACCATTCTGTGGCTCTACGCAGCACGTGGAGGAAGGTATTCCTAGCGATCTGGAAAGCAATCTGGCTTTGAGCACAAGGATTACGACGACGTTCACGCCAAGCGGCATTGCGAGTAAGCAAAGCGCTTGTGCGCATCACTGGCAAACGCATCTCGAAGCTTTTGCACACTTCTCGGGAATTGACAGCTGGAGTAATGAGCGTGTGAGCAATTTGTTCGATGTCGCGCGTGATGCATTCTTGGATTTTGTACAGCTCTGACCACAATCATGAAATTTAAACGGGTTCTGTTCAGAATGAATCTGACGATGACGTGATGTCAAGCTCGACTGTAGGGTTGCGTTCTTTTGCCTGCTCCTCCAAGAGGCCGCCTTATGGCACGCAGGACTTGACTTGACTTGTTTTCGCAGCGTTACCACCAGGCACAATGATCGATACCCAGCAGTGGGCCGCAAATCTGACGGTCTAGACACAGTAACATTGCGTGCCATTGTGAACTTTATAACGTACTGCACTACACCCGCACTAAATCTACGGCAAAAACCATACCGCAGGATTTGAAAATGTCTCAATTGAATGTATCAATGAGTAGCCGGATCATCTCCAAACAACTGCGGTCAGCAGCACGAGTCCTGAAACAACCGTCCAGCGGTCAGTAACTAAGAACTAAGAGTGTGAAACTCAGAGCTCAGAGGCAAGGCCAGAATATATACACAAAACAGCTCAGATGTCTCGCCACGTGCTACTACGGGGCTCCAAGCCCTCAAGCAACGATCTTTGAGCTTGGCAAATGCCGGCCACGAAAAACAAAAGCGCACAGTTGGAGGCGCGAGTGTTCTGCGTACCACTCGGGGCGAACAGCAGATGCAGAAGCAAATCATCAGATAGCGACTCGATGTCAATGAAGCCTAAGGTTTGCAAACGGTTCAACCACACGTTCCTCCAGTGAAGGAACAAAGGGCAGTCCCGTAATGCGTGAAGTAGGCTGCACTCATCGGACCCGCACAAGCAGGAGTGACGTAAACCACCGTGGCGAGCAGCGCGCCCATCAATGAAGGGATGATTGCCACATCGAGCAAGTGTCCACTCCCTTACCACATGCGTTGGCAATCTGGAAGAATGAATATCTGAACGAAAGTTGAGGCTTGGATGACACAGATTGAAAAGTGTCAAAGAGTTAAGCTGCGCCGCCTCAACCTGACGAAGGTGGAAACCAAGCTGGTCCAGAGCCGGCAGCACTTAAGGGAGGGTGCGAATTAATGAGATCAGTAAACCAAACGTTAGACTCACCAGCCATGACGAGGGGAACCCCTGGCAACGAACGAACTACATCATCGACAGAGGAAATGCTGTCGCTGTAACGAGCTGTCGCAAGCTCCGCTCTCGGCGCTCGCGCAGCGACGATGCCAGGAAGTGCGGCAGGTGTGCCGGCAGCACGGGCGTGGGCTGGCAGGCGGAGGAACGACGCTGCGTCGGGACCAGAGGCCCCGATGCAGTGTCTCCGACCTCGAGGCCGAACATTGCAAGGCGGCACCTCCGAGGTCAAGCTCCGGGTAAGTTTGCCGCCGCTTTCGCATGCTTGCACCGTGTGGCGTTTTGCACTGCCGCGCTTGGCCGGGCATCCGCGCCACAGGTTGCGGCCGCCCGTCTTGCGTAACCGGGCTGACCAAAATCAATGGTGGCATCGGCCAGTTGGGCGCCATGCCAAAGCGTGCCGTTGCAAACGACCTCAATGAGCCGTACATCGTGCAGGGGCTCATCGAGGTTCATCGCTGCCAGACCACATTGCATCCAACCCAAACTCCGGCCTCCTCGCCCTCAATGTCGTCCCAAAAACTATTCCTGTCTCCGGCAGCCTCGGCATTTAACTCCTCCCGATTCATTACCAAAGGCCTCCGCCCCTTCCTTGGCTTATCTCGCATGTTCTCGGAGGCAAGAATACACGAACCCGGCCCCTATAAAAAATCCCCTCCGAAACCAAGCCCCTTTCGGAAGGTCTGGGTGTTTGCACCACCAGTTATCTAGCCTTAGCCCCCACGAGATCGTGGATCACGTGGATCATAAATCCGACTTTCTCGGGAAGTGACAAGCAGCGTCTCACAGTCTCACATGTGCCATACTTCTTCAAACCCAGAAACCTTCAATGGAAAACTCCGCAGTTGGGTATGCCTCCATTTTGATGACCCCTGCACATACGAGTACCCGTAACACAAGCAAACCGGAGAAAATGTTCAATGGAGACACCACTCCCGACCTGCACCGCCCACAAACGCTTACAAGACGCTCGGACGGCCTCACAGGGCGCACGAACGGGAATGGCCGTTCCGGACCCGGTGGACGGAGTAAAGGCTGAATGGGCCTGACTGGGGCCCATGCCCAAGCCCGACCGGGCCATCTGGCACACCCTCCAGCAATGCCGTGGGGAGGGGCCTCTGAACGCGACTCACAACACGCCTGTTTCGGCCTCGGACCGCAATCTGCAGTGCTGCAGAGCGCACATCCCCCGCGGAGCAATTGGCAGCCTCACGCTTCGTGCTTCGCGTACTCGCAAGCAACATTATCGCGACCGCCCGTTGCTGCCCGCCCGGTCCCCCAGTTCAGAGGCACTCGTCCGTTCTCAGCCAGGACCGCCTGGCTCGCAGCCGTACCGGCAGTTTGCGTCGATTGGCGATCCGGCGAGCGCGATCGCGCACCGTTGGGGAGGGTTGGGGAAGCAAGGTGCCCGGCACGGGCGGACCGAGGGTCGAATGATGTCACGTCGCCACAAAAAAGCAAGATGCTCGAGTGAATGAAGATGTCTTGCATGATCTTCGTGACATCAACGGCTATACGTCGACGTGGCACCACAACTGTGAAGAACCTAAACAGGCATCATTAGCAGCACCACGTCGGGACGGGCAGAATTGCGGCAGCGGATGAGCCTGATCCCCATGCAGACTCGTCAAAGCATGTTGTGATGTTAACCGAAACGAAATCACGGAGCCCAGGGTCTCTGTGTACATGCCAGGCACCGCTGCAACGTAATGAGCCGCAGACTCGGTTGAATCTTTTTGCGCTGCTACTCCGCAAGCGCACATGAAGTGGAGTCTATAGGAAAAATTGTTGCAAGCGACATCAGTCGGTGAAACAGCCGACACCTCTCTCGACTAAAGAGATGCGCGCTTCCGCTCTTTGCTCGGATCATCTCCCGACACGAAACCTGCGCAAGAAGGATGCAGACAACACAGGATTAACATCATGTCTGGAAAGGCTAGCTAAGTCGAAAAGGCTCATCAGTTGCAGTGCACCAAGAGATCCCGTCGCGGCTCTATGCGAGTCCCAGTGCCGGGCCTTGCTGGACATCGTAGTCTTCCTCCACCTTTTTCAGGGAAGCATCTTTTCCGGCACATGCTTTCGGATTGAATCTCGTAGATCTTTCACAGCATGCGGCAGCTACCCCCGTGCTTCGGGCAATAGCAGGCTTCCCGATTCGCGAGTGGAAATGTGTTTTACTGTCTTGCAGGCCTTCCGCTTGAGGATGTTCCTGACCTCGTCACGAAGATCCTGCAACGGGAATTAGACAACAAATCCAACTTGTGACGCTCAAAGGCTCTCGCGGCGAAGCAGCCAACAGCTGAACATTGTGGATTTTCGAAATGTCTGGAAAGCTCTCAATGAGTCCAAAGAGGTTATAACGATCAGACAACGAACCCCTTTGCAAGCTCAGTGCTCATGCCGGCACCCTTGCCAAGGCCTCAGTAACCTGTTTCAGGAGGTCGGTGTCCGGCGGCTCCTAGTCACAACTTCGTCCGCATGGCTTCACCAATGCTATGTGGCTATGTATGTTTCGAAGTTTCGCTCCTTGTCGAGTAGATCTCTCGCCAGGATTAGCTTCGACTCCAGCACCTGTCCATACAGCATTGCCTTCGTAAGGAAGCATTCAATCTCCAGCAGTCCATGAGCACTGCCATCTAACTGCCACGCCTCCACCTTTGCAGGCTTGAGCTTTCTTCGCTGGTCCCTGGTTTGTGCATCGGCCGGACGATCCGGTGACTAGCAGCCGAGGCCCTGCCTCAGCAGCCTTTCAACCGCGTAGGCGGCCGATTCCGCGTCGTTTTTGACCAGTACAACCTCGCAGCCGCATCACGGTGAAGACGACGTCAGTTCATACCGCTGATACCACTCATGGTCTCCGGCTTGTTCGTAGTAAGCTTCTTCGGCTGCTTTCTTCTGGGCCTTCAACCATGAAAGTTTGCGAAGGTGCGGGTGCTCCTCTGCTCCAAAGCTCGCATCGCCACCCAGGCCGTTCGCAGGGTTGGGGATGCATGGTTAGCACCATGTCGGAGGCCTCGGCAACTTTTTCCTGAACATCTTCCTCAGCCACGAGCGCACGCAGTAGCATGAGGTGACAAGTTGGCCGTCTCGAGATGGCAAGCGACAGGAGGGCTCGGGCTCTTGTCCGAGTGGCGGGAGCCAAGGTAGAAGCTCCGGAGATGGTCACTTTGGTCTCCTCAAGAATGGGACTCACTGCGTGTCCCGTCCCACGTCTGCGAGTCGGCTGTCCTTGCGGGTAGCCCGATCGTAGGCACCCACACTGAGAATGCCGTTGCTGTCCACATCGAAGGTTACCTCAGACAGCAACGCTTTAGCTTGAGCCCTATTTCAAGATTCTTCTGCCATTACCAGAAACTCTCTCGTCCACGAAGCAGACTGAAGCATGTCTGCCACGTGCTGCTTTGACGGTGTTCTACAGACATGCGCCTCAATCTGCGGTATACCAGCAGGCGAGGGCGGAATACCTGCAAAATGTGGAAGCCAAGCACTTGTGCAGGCACTCTGAGTTACAAGTGGTCGATGCGTGCCATCCAGGAGGAAGACTCCCAGCTGCTTGTTGTCATCGGCTTTTCTGAACTCACCCTGGACGACTTCCACCTCGGCAAGCAGGCTCTGTGTCTGGTGTGGAACGGCGACGGCCAGACCGTGAAAGAATCCACAATTACAGCCAGAATGGAGCTATCCAACCGTTTATTTCTCCTCATCTCAGGTTGCATCTTACAAGAAAAACCTCAAGCAGGACATGGAACTGTCACTCGGGCTTGATTGTCCTCAGCAGTGGAGAAGACCTCTGAGCATCAGGGACACCGTGACATTCTGCGGTGCACTTGACAAGCTTCAAGCAGGTCAGCACCGGCCTTCGTCTTCTTTGCCGGGACGCGCGTGTTTCTTGGGAGGAACACGGAGCTCAGACCGTCGTGGGTCGCCTGATCTTGTTTCAAGATGCTTCACGTTTCAGCACGTAGCCGCAGCCATCGCAACTGGCTCTTGCTTTGAAAGCCGAGCCCCAGGCGACCGACAGGGACAGTGGCACGACATCCAGCAGCACGAGGTCCTGTCAGTCTGAGTCCCTGGTTTCCGCAGCCACAACCGGGAAGAGCCCCGTCCTTCACCTCTCCGGCCAGCACTCCAGCCTGCACAGCAGCTCCCATGGCGACCACCTCGTCCGGGTTCACCTTGACTGGCGGTTCAATGTGCTCGAAGATTTTGGTGGCTACTGCCCTGTGACTGCCACCAAGAGGCGCTTTGGTTCAGCTCTTTGCCTCCCACCAGCGATCGGACCAACTCTTGGACAGCGCCGATGCGCGTGGAGCCGCCCACGAGCCTTGGATCACTCAACAGATTGCAAAGGAAGGAGAATTGCAATGGGCAGGCACTGGGCAGGCAAGGGGCACCACCTCATCCAAGTCTTTGTAAGTCAGATCTGCGTCCTTCAGTGCCTTCTCCACGGGATCTCGGAGCCGCTCCAGAAGCTTCGTGCAGAGGCCCTCGAACTCCCCACGCGTCAGCTCCTCCTCCAGGTGCAACGGGGAGCCCTCCTCGTCCATCGTGATGAAGGGCAACGAGATCCTGGGAAGCTTTTAAACAAACTTCCCAAGCAGAGACATCATGACAAAACGGAAAGCTGCCGAGCCGCGTAGTGGACAAGACTCCGGAGAGCTCGATCTTTGCTTTCTCGGCCGCCTCTAGAAGCCAAGCATGTGCACGCTCGTAAGCGCCAAGGATTGGATCCAACGCAGCCCCTTAGCATCACCTCACCCTGCTCTGCACCCCTAGGTAAAGCACTTTGGCCAGCAGGCCTCAGTAAGGCGCTGCAGACTCTGCGGCTCCTCCCGAAGATCAATCCTCAAAAGAACGACGCAGGGGCATCCCTTCAGCTGAATCCAGACTCTATCTGGATTTATACAAGTGTGTGCTGAGTGGCAGCGTGCGGGAGGCAAAGCGATGGGCCAGCCAATCCTTGGGACAATTTGCGTAAGATCCAGAACCAAAAGGCTCTCTGAAGCCCATCGTTCACCTCTTGTGATATCTTCAAATTTTGAACTAGCTAAGCAAGTGAAAATGCCAGGCGTCAACAATGCACTTGTCAAAGTTGTCGCCACCAAGCTTAGTGTCGCCACTCGTTGCGAGAACTTCGCAAACACCACCTCCGACCACAAGAACGGACACGTCAAATGTTCCGCCTCCAAGATCGAATACCAGGATGGTTTCGTTATCGCGCTTTTCCAGTCCATATGCCAAAGAGGCAGCTGTTGGCTCGTTGACGATCCTAAGGACCTCAAGCCCAGCGATGGCCCCCGCATCCTTTGTGGCTTGTCTCTGAGAGTCATTGAAGTAGGCTGGCACCGTAATGACGGCTTTCTTCACATCTGCCTGTAAGTACTTGGATGCATCACCAGCCAGCGTGCGCAGCACTTGCGCGGAGATCTCTTCAGGTGCCAGCTGCCTAGGTTCAGCCAGACAGGAGCTGATGCTTGTTGCAAATGGGTTGGGGGTGTGCCAGACACGACAATGGCGTGACACAGTCCCCCGAAAGTCAGAAAGAAGAGTAACTCAACATGTCAGAGACAAAGTCAACACACAGCACGGAGTCACTGCCTGTGGGCGAAATTTTGCAGGTGAATTGATAATCATGTTCCCTTCTTCCAACAAGAACAAAAGGGGGATGCATGCTCGTCCAGTCCTGAGGCCGCTGCTTCTCCAGGTGAGGGCACTCTAAGCGCACGCCAAGGACGCCCTCGGCCTCTTCCTCACTCACGACCTGATAGGAGACCTCGCTGACCTCGTCTCGTACCTCATTCCGCAGCCGCCCAATAAAGCGCTTCACGGAATAGAAAGTATTGGCCGGATTCACTGCCGCTTGACGCTTTGCCTTTTGTCCGACCAAAGTCTCGCCAGTTTTTGTGTAAGCTATCACACTTGGGATAGTGCGGGCACCATCTGCGCCTGGAATGACGGTGGCCTTGCCGGCCTCCAGGGCAGCCACTGCCGAATTCGTCGTACCAAGGTCGATGCCAACCACCTTCTCCCCTTCCTCCACATTCACCGTGGCTGCACGCAGAGCAGTGTCCCCACGCCACGGTCGCCGGCTCGCACGCAGCCGCCGCAGCCGCACCGTGCTGGCAGCCAGAACTGGCAGCGCACCCAGCAGCATAGGCGTTGCCATCTTCTCCCAAGACAAAGCAGCTCCTTGTTGCACCTCCGGCGCCCGCGGCCTGAAACAGGAATTTAGGACCGAAGCTGGGGCTTGGGGTGCCGACAAATCTGCTGTAGCCATCCGTCCAGCGAAGATGCAGCCGAGCCGCGCAGGGCATCGTGATCCTCTGAACGCATTGGTGGAGCACAAAGCTTCAGACTCACGGTTGCATTTCCAGCTGAGACTTTTCTGTCAGCTAGGCTAGACACTTGTAGACCTGCACAGGGAGCCAGTCTCCTGTGGCTAGCGCTCCATTTGGGCACGGAGAAGCCAGCGCCATGTCGCGATTTCGGGCTGTGTGGACGGTTGGAATTCCCACGTCGAAACCTCTTAAAATCCCTTCTTGGGATCTGGAGTGCAAAAAGGTCGCGCCGCCCCCTCTAACGTTTATGTTTTTGCATGCACCATGAGCTGCAGATTCGAGGCCAGTTCCAGGCGGGTCTGGGAACTTTCATCGACGCTTCTAGCAAACGCAAAGCAGGCTTGATGCAGAAGGAACGAACCGCCGTCACCAACATCGGGTCAACAAATACCTAGAGCTCGCGATGGCAGCTGGGCTCAAACGCTCCAAGGCAGAAGTGGTCGAAGCAGCATCGAAAAGCCCTTTTCTATCTTCCAGCCGCTGGCTCGCATGCTTCATGCATAGCGGAGATATTGAGACCAGGTCCAGGTCCTCCATGTATTGCCGGGCTTGGGGGTTCTGGGAAACGCAACTTGGAGGACCGCTCCAGCAGAAACCGTCATATTGCCAAAACTCCGCGTGGCATCGTGGCCGCACTCGGCAGAAGTTGAAGATATCGCTTGCCACTGCTCCGTTGCTACTAGGGATCGACTCTGCACTGTCACGCCCGATGTTGAATCCACTTGCAACCTTCACTTGTGTCATGTGTGTAGCTGACTACAGACGCCATTGGCACTCATAGGCTCCGCCGCTCAAGTGGTTTGGACCTTGCCGCCATTGAGCCGCTAAAACTGACTTTGATTTAGGACGTTTCCTTTCCAAGCCGTTCTGATCTGAGGCTAGGGGCTTTGTGTGCAGGAATAGTTTGCACTTGCGTTGGCCCCGAGGAGCACGGCCGTATGCCCTGGCTTAACAGCGACTGAACAGCCACCACTGATCACACCACATCACACCGTACACAGGCTTCCGCCGAGCCTTAGCGCCTCTTGCGTCGACGTGGAGGCCTCAAGCATCCCGATTTGGCACTAAGGCTGTTTGGAGGGTTTGGAAGAAGGGCACCGCATGGGGAAAAAACTGGCAGGCCAGGCCCATGCAGGTGATGCAACTTTGGAAAACACATGAAACTGCGCTACAACATGTACGAGCAACACTTAGGTAGCCTCAACCCTCCAGCGATTCCACGGTGCACTCCGGCTTCAACTGAGAAGAAGATATCATGCACTGAAGCGCTTTTCACCTTGCAAACGCGAGGCGGAATGCTCTGCAAGCTGCGGGGCATCCATGACAGGCTCCTACCTTTCTTACTGTCCTTGACACGAACTGCGCAGCTCGCAGGGAAACATTAGCTCCTGAGCAGTCAGGCCAGCGCAGCCTGCCGCTGAATAAACACATTAACAATAGCCAGCATCGCAAGCAGGCGAGGGCCGGTTTTGTACAAACAAAGCAAGGCCATCTGCCTGCTACGTATCGCTTCTGGTAGCACTCAGGTGTGGACCACAAAGGAACTGCCAACCGTGGAGCAGTTCTCCATGCTAAACCAATGTGAAGCAGCCAAGCGAATAATTAGGGCCTCGTCCGCTCGAGATCGGCGGCTTTGCCAGGTCCTTCGCGATGAGCAAAACATAGGAACGTCTGCCCGAGGCTGGTGCCATTTCGGGGCCAAAAGAAGAGATGCTGCCTGCAGCGTCGAGGTACCTCGGTGGCTCTGCAATATGGCTCTATAGGTCCTCTAGGTGGATATCTGAATCCCCGAGAATCTCACGCCTTGAAGTGCCGCCGCACCTTGGTCCAAAGGCGGCTTATGCGAACGTGCCAACGACCTGCTTGCAAGCATCTTGCCACGACGTATGCCTGGGTACGGGCAGACCACGATGCATTCATTTACGCTGCCCATGGACACGTTGTCTGGAGGCGTCAGCTTTGGGGGCGTACCTTAGGCACACCGCAACCACTGCCCGCAGCGTCCGCCTGCTCGGGGCCCGTTGCAAACCTCGACCGAGAGCCCTGCCGCCCTTCGGAGGACGCATTCCGGGAGACGGAGGCCTCGGCCTGTCCTTCGAGAGGCGCATCGCATCGGAGCCGGAGAGACACAGACGACACAGAGAGGAAACGCGCCCATCTGGTCCGGATTGGGATCGGGATCGTCGTCGCGGTTCGCGGGCGGCCCGGGGTCGCCTCAAAGCCGCCGCACGTGTCAGCCGCAACGAGCGCAGGGCCGGTGTAAAAGCGAGGCCCCCCGCCAATGTAAGGATCCTTCGCAGAAAGAAAGGGGACAGGGGCTGGAGCCCTGTGAGGTGGCCATCCGCGCTCCTGAAGGCGAGAGACGCAGACACACCTCATCACTCCTCTCCTCTGCAGCGCCTGCGGCTCTGGTGCAGTCGCGGCGGCCTGCAAGACTCGACATAAAATCGTCTTCACTCTGCAAGCTACCCCTGTCAGGCAGGCCTCGCCTCCGCGTTTGTGCTCGGCTGCGAGGCGAAGGCAGGTTCTCCGTGCGGCGGCGTTGCCCCATGCACAGGCGGCGGCTGCAGGTGGATCTCCTCCACCTCAGCAAAGAACAAGTATGCCAGACGCATGCTCAGGAACTCCAGCCGCAAAGTGTGTATGCTGTGTGACCGAGCCGGCTGTGCTGCCGGAGGCCTGGGATGGAGCCGAAACCACTCCGCTAGCCTCGCAGCCAGCACTCCGTGGCAAAACATCACCAACATCGCCAATCCGTGACCATGGGGACTTGAGAGGTGAGGCGCAGGGCCGGATGGGGCAGAGCTGGGCCTTTCGAGATGCACGCCGGTGGGTGGACTGCCCACTGGCATGGTGCGCTGTGGATCTGGCGGATCCTTGGCACCACACAACACAGACACAGCAGCATGCAGTGACAGCCTGTCTTCGAGGTCCCCACAGTGGGAAAGTGCGCTGCCGACAACCAGGGCTCCCCAGGCAGAGGCCGCTCGGCGTAGGTCTCAAGTTGCGGCTTTTGTCAAAGTCTGTCCTCAATCTCTAGTACCAATGGCTGAGTCTCTGGCTGGAAAGCTGGAGTTGGGCTGGCGCAACGCCTGCAGCAAGGGCACCCACTCGCTGTGCTGATGCAGCATCCTGCAACAACTGACGTGGCAAAGCATGATATTTGTCGTGGACGTGCTCGGTATTCGCAGCACTTATCAGCAACACCATGCGATTGGGCTTCCGTCGCGTAGCGAGGGCCGAGAGTTGAAGCAAGGGCTCGCCTCCATGGCAGCCACGTTTGCACGCCGAGCTGCTTCGAAGGCCTCCCCAGGCACTTATGGAGTCAGAAATCTCAGAGAGGCGCAGGTGTACGACCGAAAACTCCATCCGCACTAGCGCGCGAAGCGTGAATCTCACGTTGCCCAGGTCGATACCATCGAAATCCTACATGCAGAGTACCTGATTGGAGTCGGCGGCGGCCAAGTACAGTGCCTTCGAAGGACATGTGAGCGCTGCGTCGTCAGAGTCGCTTAAGATCTGGGGCGCCTTCAGGGCTTCTCTTTGAGCCCATCGAGCGTGCTCAGCCATGAGCAACGCCTGCACCAGTCGGCTTCTGCAGTGCATAGCTCCCGCAAGCCTGGACTCGCATATGGGGTCCGAGACCAGGATACTCCCGGACACGCTGCGGCACTGGGGCGCATGCGACTTCGCTGCTGCGTGGTTTCACCTGAATGGGGCTGACTCGCACGAGTCGCACTGACCGGAGCTCTCAGCCGGCTCTGAGTCTCAGGTCCGGACCATGTGCATGATGTTACCGTTTGAAGAATCCAATTCTGCACGAGGCTTTTTGAGCAACGGCCTCGAAAAAAGACTGCAACAAGGCCGTCAGTCCTGATGGAACTGCAAAGTCGATGCCTCAGCGTCGTGAGCTGGCATGTACCCTCCAAGTCGCATACATCGAGTGATCGCAGCATCAGAGGCGTGGACCAGGCACTTTGGCTGGGGCTCCACTTAGACTCTTCTGTGGAGCATTTCCGGAGTAGCGAGGTCCTGCACCAGCGGCGGCAATGTCACAAGAATTGGGAGATGGCTGGCGAGCCAGGGCGCTGGAGCCCGTGCGAGACTTGAGATTCTAGTGGGAGCAACTGATATAGTGCGATATCATCTGTGGCATCGACACTGCAACATTGACTGCGGGACCAGACATCTGCGGTCCTGTGCCATAAGCAATCTCGTTCAAAGCTTTCTTCCTGGTGTAGCTAGCATCATTGACAGGGGGGTCCGCTGAATACGCCTCAAAGATCCCTCATGTCAACGATCTTGTGCTGAGAGCCCTGCGAGCGCCACGTTTGAACCAACTGCAGGCACGGTTGGGTTTCTGCTGGTCTCTGCACTCTGCTCTGAGTTCGAAGTACTAAAGCTCGCAAGTCTTTGCAGAAGAGGGCTATGCACTTGCAGCGTGCTGTGGCCTCCGTGAAGTCCGCGGCAATGGCATCCAGTTGCTTCTGGGACTGGGACCCTCCAGTCCCTCCCGGGCCTCCGGCTCCCGACCTCGAGTCCACCATTCCAACAAAACCACAAATCACCGCGTGCAGAAAAAGTCTCTAACGTCTCGTCCTCAGTCTCGAGCCTCGGCATGGTGCCCGGGGTTGGCCGCCGCGAACAATCAGGATGAAGCCATGGCCCAGGCACTTGTCTTGCCAGTCGCGCTAGATCGAGGATTGATGTGATGCACTTTAGGTTTCTGTCGAAGGCAGAGGGCGGACTGATCCAACTCGCCTCTGTTGTCAATGCGAAGTCCCTGCGGCCGTTCCCGCGCCGCGGGCACGGCCGTGTGCAAATGCTGGGCCAAACAAAGCGCAGCGGCAGGAGCTTGTGCGCTTAGGCTCGCAGGCCGTGTAGGCGCTCAGAGAGCTTGACCATCTAAATTGCTCAGCCCACAAAAACTACCCCCATCCCAGACGAAGCCAAGCTCGCTGCGATCGGGAATCCGAGTAGGAGTAGTCAGAGTAGCTAGGAGTTCGCCTGACGTTTTGGGCATTCGAAAGCAATGGAGAGGAGCAGGTCAAGTCGCATTCTGGCCTCCTTCTTCTGCGGCCGCCTCCTCCCCCTCCCCCTCCTCGGGTTTGTGGCACTGCTCTGCGACTCGTGGACTTAGAAACAAGTCTGAGGCAGGCTGAGCCGCTGACGCCTGCTGCGACTCCTGCAGAGCACTGTGTTGAGCCATACCATCGGATTTGGTATGGAAGTGCCTGCTCCTGCTGCCGCGTCGTGGAGGTGGGCCACGCCGAGGCTCTCCTCCCTTCGACACCTCGCGCAACTTCAACGCTCAACGAAACCTTTCAAAGTCTGTCTCTTGGCAATCTGCGAGCCTCGACTCGAATGCGCTCTCCACCGACCTTGGAGCCGTCGAGTTCTTTAACGGCTTCATTCGCTTCGTTCTCATCGTCCATGGTCACAAAAGCGAACCTCGGGATTCATTCAAGGATGCTCGGCAGGTAAGGATAAAGGGAGTCTTGGCTCTGGACCCTGGTGGCTGCCTTGCTACCCAGATGTCTACCACCCTGCCGAACTTCTCAAACTTCTCCTGGCAACTGCTACAAGGATACGAGAGTCGTATCCACCCTTGCACTTGAACTGGAACACGCTGGACCGTGCAGTCACAATCCTCCAGCTCATTTCTCTCGACCTGGCACGGCTCAACGGCTCAACACCCGGCCTAGCAGCTGGTGCCACTGGAAAAAGGTCCAAACCGGGTACTGCGAGAAGGCACGCTGCAAGATGCTGCAAGACAACTCAACTTTGGATGCTTTTCTCCCTGAGCAAGCGGAGTACTCGCAGGAATCTCAGACACCAATCCGTCATCGTTTGTTTGGTGTAGTCTCACGCCTACCTTGTGGACCTATCGATGAAGTCTGGATTCCTCGAGCTTAGTGCATTAACCCCCCCCCCGTCCCTCACTAACACGCTCAGCAGCATGCCAACAGCGCAGCGAATCTGGCCGCACTTTGCTTCGCTTCCTTTTGGGAGCTCTTAGAAGATTCAGCCACCACGCTTGATGAGGCTGGTCTTCAGAACAAACGGCGCAGGCTTCGGCGGCGATCTTTGCGCCTGCCAGCTCGTGACAATGTGACGACCACGTTACACACACTTCTGGCTGCACTGCCGGTGCCCTGGCCTGCAAACCTCCTGCAGCCGCGGCAAGGCCTTTAACAAGGAAAAGCCAATAATGACAAACAGAAGTGCTGCGAGAATCGCTTGGGCGGGCCACAGCAGACTCAATCTACCCAGGCCTCTTAGTATTGTACATGGCAGAGTGATCATGAAGAAATGGCCTGGCGAGACGGACCGCCGCCCATGCGAGGCCACTTGCGAGCGCGGAGGCGTCGAGTAGGGAGCGGCCTGTTGAAGAAGAAGAGCATGCAGCACGTTGTTCAGTGCAAACTGCTTCGTCCCCGCCCAAGACTCCAAATACTCCAAGACCTTTCCCTCTCTGAACTACATGGCATCGGGGAAAGGCGGTGAACCTTGTAGCCAAAGTGTTGCGGTGCTACGCCCCTGCTGCCCAGGTGGTCCTGCAAAGCTGCACGCTAGTTGGGAGTTTGGATAAATCAATCTCTGGCATTCACAGAAGGACGATTCTGGATTGCTTCAGTGCGACGAGTCAATGCAAATCATAAACGCGCAAGTCTAGCTGGCGTGGGCCTGGACAACCAGCTGCAGTTCGCCTTGGAATTCCGAGCGGCACCATTGGTCTACCACTGCACTAATGACTAATATCGTCGCAAGCTGACAACCAAGCAGTTGTATCCTTGGAAGGCGTTTGCAACATCCTGTTTTGCGAGGTCACGGATCCTGCGACGTCACGTCAACACACGGGTTGTTTTGGTAGGGCATTCTCAACCCGTGTTTGTTGCTCGACAAGAGCCACACAAGTCATCACAAGATCCACAACTTCAGATCTCAATCCTGCGGTGCACGCAGCCGGAACTTTCAATCCGAGCTGCGATCAGCAAGCCGTGCACAGCTCGCCCGCAGCGGAAGCACCTAGACAAGCGAACGGCGCGTCACCAAGCGGCAGGCTAGTCGTAGGCCTCGTTTGCCCCACTTCTTCTCCCCA